TTTAGGGTTTAGGGTTGAGGGGATTACCCCGTCTACCTTCATCCCAACCACGGATCCTTTTTGAGGAGACAGGGCAGCAAGACAAGCAGGGCTTCCAGTACAGCCACTTCTGGCGTTTGAATCGTGCGGCTAAAGATCTCAAGGCACTGATGCATAGAATGGTGCCGAGAAGCACAGCCGCTCACGAAACCCTCCAATAACTTCAATACCGACGTAATTTGGTTCCGCCGCTCGTAGCAGAGCGCGCTGTTGCATTTTAATTACCAGGGAGTTTCAGCTTGTGCCATCTCTGACAATAGGGGCTTAGGGTTTCGGGATTTAGGGTTTTTGCGTTTTGGGTTTGGCATACTGTTACTGTGCCGTTGATTTCGCAAAGTGCTGGAGAACCCCTGAACCGTATAGACGGGCAGTGCCTGGCATTACACAGCTGCCTTCGATCCAAATCCGTCGGGCTAAAGCAGACGGGTTTGAATTCATTGTCTACAGTTTTGTTGGGGCACGCTTGCAGAGCAACACATAGTTTGCTAAAGCCAGAGTCTTAGTGCTCTGTTTATGGTTTTAGTGTTTAGGGTTTAGGCTTATTGCAAGTAAGGCCAACCATGAAGCCTGCAAAAGGGTTATGGCCCCTAAAAAAGGGCACCAAGATCTTGTTGGCCAGCTGTGAGCGCCCTCGATCCTTCCATACTCTGAGGGTCAGACCCACCCCGACTGCAGGAGCTGTGGCCGGTTTCAAAATCCGACTCACCACTCTGCTTGCGTGGTCTAAACCCTAAACCCCTAAACCCTAAACCCTAAACCCTAACCCCTAAACCCTAAACCCTAAATTAAGGCCCCTGTTTAGGGCCCCAATATAGTACGGCACCCTCATAAAAAGGACCCTAAAAGGGACCTCAATTCGGAGAACTACCCTTGTAGGGTCAGATCAAGGCTCCCGGAATAAATGCATGACGAGGTTTAGGGTTTAGGGTTTAGGGAGTCTGGGCATGGCAATGCCCATTTTCAATCACAGGCCGAATCGGCTGAGCAACACTACTATATACTGGAAACACAAGCCGTACTAAGGCGAGCATCTGCGTAATATATGGGCCTTAATAATTACTAATATCATTTTAGGGGGTTCCTTATTATAAACAGAGTATAATGTACCCCCAAAACCCTATTCTAAATATTAAGGCCCCTACATCAAGAGATCTAAGTTCCCCGAGACCATCAACCCTGAACTCCTGAACGCCTGAACTTGAAACCCTGAGCGGTTTAGGGTTTAGGGTTTAGGGTTTAGGGTTTAGGGTTTAGGGTTTAGGGTTTAGAAACTCCAGGTCTGTTTACGTCCAGTCGCGGCTATGGACATGATAAGAACGCAAAACGAATAGGGGACCGTAATATAGTCCCCTAAATAGTAGGATCCTTATTATGAGGGCCCCAAAATAAGGTACCCCTTACTTTCTTAAACTCCCATATATGTCACACACACACACGCACATATATATATATATATATAGATATAGATATAGATATAGATATAGATATAGATATAGATATAGATATAGCCGGAGCTCGTGCCGAATGTCCCAAAGGGTCCCAAGTAGCTAGATACTAGAATAGACTGTTACCGTATGTTCGAATCTTACAGACTACTTTGGACCGCTTGTTTCGACATTAGGAATGATTGTCATCTGCTTTGGGAAAATATCCCTAAACCCTAAACCCTAAACCATAGCTGCCCATATCAGCACCTAGGATACTTCGGGGTGTTTGGGTGCTGTGAACTGAACTTTCCCTCAATGTCCGTGAGACACAAGGTTGGAACGCTGCGCGATGATCATTGCAGAGGCGATCGCACTGTGTAGGAGTTTTGGGTTCAGGAGTATAGCATAGGGGCCTGAATAATTACCTTTACTAATCTATTTGGGTAACTTATTACCCAAAACCCTATTCTA